TATTCTTTCACACTCAGTAACCTTTGCATCTTAGTGCCTTTATTGCTTTGCTTTTGGTGAAATGATTAAAAAAAAAGAAGAAAAAAATCCACCAAATGTTATTGCTCTTTCTAGTATTGATAGCAGTTTTTTTTCTTAACCTTTTGTTTTTATTTATTGGAAAGTTACTGACTTAATAAGAAAAGAAAATAATCAGCAAACTTTAACTTTCATGCCTGCAAAAAAACAGTGTCAAACAGGTACTTTTTACCATGATGCTGCTATTATTTTGTGCTAGCTTCTCTACCATGGCAATGTTTATTTACAAGATTATAAAAATATGAAGTACAATGTGATATTTATTATTTACTTTTTATAAAAATTTATTGTTTACCATTTTATAAAGAAATAAATTGGCAGAGATATTGTTTTATTTTAAAAATTTTAAAAATTACAAAATTATCAAAATATGTAAAATAGTTACAATGCAATATTTATTATTTACCATTTGATAATGTTGTAATCTAGAAAAGGTTACTAAATGAAGAACAACCAAGACGGAGGTTGGAAATGAAATGGTAATCTTTCTAACATCAACAAAATACAATACTTGCCAGCAGTGTTAAGTAGGTAAACCACTGCTAATGGTGGACTACTTAGACAGCATATTACCCCCATTTAGAATGTGTCCAACATATTTATGAGGATTGGGACATGCCTATTAGTTTTCATAGGTATGGTACATAACATATAAATAACTATGAAATTTTTTATTCATAATATTATAAAATATTGATGAATCCAGTTAGGGAAACTGGATTCATCAATATAATCTCCAACTATTCAAATGTAATGTCAATCGACATCTCCAGTTGCCTTGATCTATCTATTATCCTTCTCCTCATCCTTTCCTCTATCACTCCTATCTGATCTTTCTCCAAATCTTCTTTAACCCCTTGCATCCTAGTGGCTTCCTGTCTTGTTTGGGGTGAAACGCTTAAAAAAAAAAAAAAAAAAAATGGCTACATGAAAGAAATGCCTGGAAAATACAATTTTTCAACATTTATAATTACAGTCATCATTATCTGTCTATTTAAATTTTCTTGTTCAGACATTTTTTATAAATTTATGAATAAAAAAATATATTTTCATAATTTATTTCATTATAAATTGATAAATGATAAACATTGCATTGTATTATTTGGTTCACATTTTTAGAATTTTGTAAATATATAATTATTCTTGCAAATAAGTTAATGAATAGAATTTAATATTTTTGTTATGGATTCTCAAAAAACAAAGAAAATGTATAAATTCACTTTTATGTGTTTGTTTCTTCATTAAAATTCTAATCATCACTTTTTAAAACAATAAACATTACTAAGGGAATTAAGGTAGTTAAAATAATAGTGGTATCAAGGGAAAAACTGTCCTTTGGACACACTATTTATTGAAGATATGTCAGTTAAAGATTACCAGATAATCATATCAAGCTTCCTAAGGTCTATTGTAAAAAAAAAATATATCTATTATGTAAATTTTATTAGGGCATATTATCATAATTGTTTCATTTTATTAATAGTTATGTTGAAGTTAGCTCCTCCTCAGCTCCTTAACCCATCACCAGGAGTCTCTCTCCCCTGACTATAAATACTGGCTGACCCTTTGCCTTGACCTCTTTTTACCTCAGGCCTTCAGCCTTTTACCACCTCGCAGATGTGAGCTCTCACAGATACAGTGTTTCCCAAATTCTGGGAACACACTAAGAACAATACACGTACGTACGAACACTCACCACAACACACACACATAATATTCACCACACACACTCTGTCCATGTAACTGTCCATGTGCTTGTAACTTGTACTTGTTGTTAATACATATATTTGTTTACATATATTTATCGGTCTTGTTTGTTTTCTTTGGATTTAATTCAAGTTCAACTTTCTCATGTAGTTGAACCGGCTCGCAGGAAATTCTACCTACATGTGTTCTTGTACAATACACACTAATCACTGCCATGGACAGCTACAGTTATGATTCTTAATTTCTTATTATATCTAATTTATAAATGGAACTTTATCATAGATGTGTATATGCGGAGAAGGTTTTAGAACATATCCCCTAACCTGGTCAGTACCTAGATAGGTGACAACTTGGGAATAACCAGGTGCTGTAAGCTTGGATATGCAGATGGTGTAATGGATAATGTCTCGAATGTTAATCGGAGAGCTGAGTTCCAGTTTCAGTTGGGTTTGTTATATTCACTTAAGCACAAATACCCTTGGGAAAAGTATGAATCCATCTTGTCTCCCTCCGGGTATGGGTTAATTAGTAAGACTTGTATCATTAAAACCATTATCCCCCCACCAAAAAAATAAAATAAAATGAAATTGTATGCAAATTGTGTGTTTTGGAATTAAATAACCCATTGTGAAAGTGAAACGATCAACTGACATATCCCCTGAAGATTAGGGAAACGGTTGTATGTAGAAAGGAACTTTTGGGGTTAAATATTTACTATGAGAGTTTCTCAGTATTTGAAATAAGGCAAAATTTCTTTCAGAAACAACCTTTGAAGAAAGCAGGAGAAATAGTTTATATGAAGTTGTTATTATAACAACTTCATATGAAGTATGAACCAGGCTTAGAATTCCTAGACAATGTGTCGCAGCCAAATATAAAGACCTGTATCCACCTTTTATCTGTGGTGAGTTTTGGATCAAAGATCATAAAATTGACAAGAATTAAGTTCTCTCCTAATGGAATGCTTTTATTTTGCCTTGAAAGATTTCTTTTGTTTTATTCTCTGTCACTGTTATTTCTATTCAGTTCATTACTGAGCAAACACAGCATTTCTTTTCTTGCTACCCCTTCAATAAAAACTACACTGCAATTGTTCCTTTCTAATGAAAACACTGACCTTCATTGACAAGCAGCTAGTGTTACTTTTGCTTGAAATATATTACATCTTTCGATTAAAACAATTTTTCAGGAAAATAGTTTTAAAAGTTATGTATTCAAACAAAGAAAATTAAATAACAGTGGACAAATAAGTGTTACAAATTTTGTTTATTAGTGCGTAAAGTGTGTGTAGTGATAGAAAAATAAAGTTCACTATTTTTAAAAAAAAAAAGCTAGAAAAATTTGCAAACCATTTTGTTTTACCATAAAGAAATAAAATAATGAAAAAAAAGATAAGAAAAAAAGAAATTAATAAAAGACGCCAAAAGATCATCCTTCCCAGACGGAGGTGAATTAAAAGAGGTGGTCAAATGAGTCGCATCTGTGAACCAATCAGAAATCAAGTAACAATAATGGAATGAATTCCTTTGTCTCAAAAAAAGTGACAAACATGGACCAGAGAGTTGATGAAATAATTTCATCTGTTCTCTCATGCCTAAATTTTCAAACACCTAAAAATCCCACATAGAATCAAAAGAATTGCTACTATCAAAGAGATACTTACATACACATTTACAAGAACTCTCTTCTCTCTCTATCTATTATATGCTAAAGGATTTAGATGTTCAACACAAGAACTCTCTGATATGAAGTTATGAACTCTTTAAATATTGTATATTTTATTTTAAGAAATATAAAAATTTTATCAGTACATGCAAAATATATCTTTGTACTAATTATCTTTGAATATATTTTAAAAGGCCAAAACTTGGTGTATATTTGGATTAAAGATGTTATCCAAAGATAACAACCTGTAAACACATTAACCCCCCCCCCCCGGCCCATAAACCTCACTCAAATCCAATAACTTATTGCACTTTCCAATATTGATTGGATTCCTTCCTAACCTTTTGTTTGAAGTAGTGTTGAATGTTAACATCTTGATTATGTCATTATTTTCTCTTTGGGTTACATTTACTAACCAAATTAGTTGCTGCTGCTGAAAGTACTCAAGTGATGTGGGTTCTTTGATTTGGTACAGTTCTCTGTGATTCTGCAAGACAATTACAAGGTTTAATGAAGGATGGTCATCACTAAGACTTACAGGCTCCATTCACTTGAAGCCACTGATAACCATCAATCTTAGAAAATAGTTGTATACGGCTGACAGTTCAGACATTTCTAAATGAATTTGGTGCCATGGATGACATCCATATAACAGTCTTTATCCGACAAGTCTATTTAAGAACATGACTCATGTTTTCAGGTTTATGTTTGGGTTTTGTAGTAATTACTGGTGGTGTGCAAAATTCTCACTAACACACCCAGTCCTATGTTCAATTACCTTATCTCCAAGACTAAATTGCTTTTAACTGATCCATATGCTGAGATATTTGAAGTGTTTACTATTTGCTAATTCCTCATCTAGAATTTTTATAATAAAGTTTTGGAGTAGGTGCAATTACTGCATTCATTCCAATTCCAGATCATAGTTTCTGTTCTGGAAAGGTAGTATGAAAAATATATTTTCTGTGTAGAAAACCTAAGCAATTTAATTAAAATTTGCTTTCCCTTTGTTTTATTTGCAAAGCAGAGCAATTCAGTGGATAAGTGTGCACTTTCATGTTAAGTGAGAAAAAATGGCAAATCAAGCTTAATGCTGTCTGTAAAACTGATGTCTTTTTGTTTATTTTTTTGGTTTTGGGGGCTTTTTTTAAATCAAATTCACCCCAAGCAAGGTAGTAAAGCCACTAAGGCATAAGGAGTTAATGGGTGTAAAAGAATTAGAAAACTGAAAGCATTATGAAGTAACAGGAACAATAGAAGAGAAATCAGGAAGACAGTAGATAACGGCTGACATTGTACATTTAAAATTTTGAAGACCAAAGTTGAGAAAGCAAACGGCCAGAAGAGTTCAAGAAAATTCAAGAAAAGAAACTGTTAGCATAGAATTTATCATTACATCTGGTTAAGAATAATCTTAATTTTCTAAGAATTTTCTAGTCTCATGACCAAAAACTGTTTTCAAGTTTTACATGATATCCTGATTTTGTCATACAAGTATACTCATCTTGATTGTTATAAGAAATAACTTTACACAAAAAGTCATACAGCTTACAGCCACATCACAGTGAAACACCTGTTCATGTATGGTCACTGAAGTTAAGCATCATTAAGTCTGCTCAGTACCTAGATGGGTGACCACTTGGGAATACCAAATTCTGTAAACTTGGATGTGTGGGTGGTGTAATAGATAATGACTCAGAATTGTTAATAAGAATACAGAGTTCCAATTCCCTTTGGGTTCATTATATTCACATGCGCAAATACTGCTTGAAAAAGTATGAATCTCCCACTTCTCCTCCCTAATTATGGATTAATTAGTAAGACTTTTATCACTAAACCATTATTAACTAAAAACATCCTGACAAAGTAAAAAAAAATATTTTCTGGCTTTAAATAACCTGAAAAGTGTTGATTATCCATAGAAAATGAATCAATCAATCAATAAAACAAAAGATCTTAATTTTTTAATAATGGATTTTTTAATTTGACATTATTTCTTATTGCTATAAACATTATATTTAGTGAGTACATGGTGAGCAGACATTGCTACTTTTTTGAAATAGTGAAAATCTTATTAAAGAAAATGTAAATTTTCACAGGAATTGAACTTGTATTCCTTTTATCCTAGGAACACGTTGGTTTTTTCCCCAGGGTAAAGGGAATGAAGGTGTATTTCTTTCAAGAGGTATATTTTCTTTAATAAGTTTTTCCATTGCCCAGGCTGGTAGATGTTGATTTTACTTCATAAAAAAAAGAAGTTTGTTTGCTCAAACATGAGTACTCATTAGATGTAATGTTTATAGCAATAATAAATTCAAGAATAGTTCAAAATGAGAAAATGAGTCTTTGTATAATTTCTCATGACAAAAATATTTCTGTACTCTGTCACCAATTCCTCAGACAACTGATGGCTTAAAAGAGATTGTACTGAACAGTGCTACAATTTTAATTCAACAAGGTTGCTGCTTGTCACTAGCTTGTAATGTGAGGTGTTAGTACATGTTATGGCTGAAAAGTGAATTAAACATTTTCAAAAGAAATGAATTTTAAAACATGTAAGATTTTTTATACATTAAAGTGCAATATGGCTTATAAAAGAAGAGAAATAATTTAAAAAAAAAGTGTATATTTACATGCATACAGATAGTTCAAAAAGAAGGGAAAAAATGATGGACTTAGCCATTGTATGTTTGTATGTGTGTGGGTGGCTGGGTCAAAATTTAAGCTGTTGGCTGCCCAGCAACTAAGTCTTCTCAGAGGGAAAGACTTGATATGTCTGCTACTACTTCATCTTGTGAGCAAGAAAGTTTGTTTTATGTTGCTTCCTTTTATGCAGTCCTGAAGAGAATGCCACCTAGTGGCCATCCTAGCAGACAAAGTATGGTAATTCCCACAAGATTATTTAATAGATTATGGTTGTTGTTTTAGGAAAAATTACTTGCTTCAGACTCATTTTTCACTAAAGATTGATTGTCATTGCCTCTTAGTTTTGCTGCAATCCAATTTTTAAATAAAGTTTCACCTCCCACTGTGTATTCAAATTGGAGAATCAATGAGACAATGATTCTTTCAAACCAGTAATCTTTTCTGTCCTTATAAATAACAGATCCTGTACACTTCAGCCTTTTTCAGTAATATTACAAAATCTTTGGGCAAAATTCATTATTTGATCTTGTAAGAAATGTTTTTATTCCTATTTTTGCACTACCTGATACAAGGACTGAACTTAAAGCATTTGGGAAACCAGAGGTGCCTTACAACTATTTTTATCCACTAACCTATTCAAACTTCTAAAAGTTCATACAACAGATTAAATGATTTGACACAAAACAATATTAAAAATGTTTAAAACAAATGTAAGAGGATTCATTGATCAGAGAAGCAATATACAGTTGCATATATTCAAAAATAGATGATGAGAGTTTAAAATGCTTTTCTTGCTTGGATTATTCTGAGTAAATTCTTTTTTATTGTAAAAATATTGGAGTTTTTTGCAGGTTTTTAAACAGTTTCACTCCATGCAAGGCAGTAACACAAAGAGTTACTGGGTGTGGAAAAATTAGAAACAGAAACATTACTAATTAGCAGGAACAAAAAGTGTAATCAGGAGGACAATAGATAGTGATTGACAATTTTTGAAGATTAAAGTTGGCTGGAAATCATGGGGACAATTTGCATAATATGAATTTGTTTTTTAAATTGTCCTGTAATTTGCTGTTCTATATTATTCTGATATAAAATCCAAGACAAATCCAAGGCAATTTTCAGATACTGGGAATAATAAAACAATGGAGATTGAATTTGAATACATTTCAATCATATCTCAATAAGTCTACAAGCCTCAACTTTACATATTACATCATATCCAAAAAAAAGTAAATGCTCCAAAACTTGGTATAATTTATTTCATAACCAAACATACTGTAGATTAGTAATTTTTTTTCAGCTATAATATGTTATATAGTAATTCCTTTTTCTTCAGTACTGGCAAAAAGCTAGCTTGGGACATAAAATTTGTAACAAGAAGCCAAAGTCATTTCCCTCTTAAATGGATCCAAGCACTACCAAAAAGAGCAAAAATTCAAGCCACAATAAGAAAGCTGGACAACTGCCAAGAATTCTCCCTGAAGCAATGGATGAAACTGTAGTGAAATGTACTATTTCCAACGCTGTGTTGGATTGTTCTGTCATAAAGCCAATGTTTTCAACATTTCCTCTTTATTTCTTTTCTTTTAAATTTGTGTTTTTTCTATTCCATCTTGAATTGCAGACAAAGAAAGACAATTAAGCCAGTTAATAACTAAAAATCTTCAGCATCCAACTTTCTGTGAAATATTGTATTTCTCTTCCAGTGCTGCCATTATTGTGGCCTCTCCGAAAATGTCCACCACACAGCTTCCACCCTGAAGACACATTGTCAGTTTTGCCTGAGTGTGTCTGCATTCATGATTGATTTGCAATGTTATGGCTTCTATCTCACTTAAAAAAAGGACACACACATGCATCATACACCTATGTGTGCTGATAATTTTAACAATTTAATTCCAACATATTAGTGAGGCATTAGTCTATCTAAAATAAATTGGTCAAATGTTTATGACCAAAGCAAAAGGAGATTGGATGTATAGTCATTGCAGTGACGGTTAGACTGAGAAAGTTTCAGGAATTTTTTTGGCTAATCGTTCATCCAGTACAAGACTCAAGAGCCACTCAAGGTTACTGATTGTAGTGATTGGCAATGCATCCTCTCAGGTGTCTGTTCTACAAAGTAACAGTTCTTGGAAAGAAGCTTTCTGGAGTGATGTCAATAAATGACTGTCATGTGACCCACCTGACTTGTCTCCACCAAAGGAAGATAATCAACTTATGTATCCCTAGAGTACATTTGAATAGATAAGACAACCTTATAGATGCTAACCAAAGTATTAAGTTATATATAAATGTTGTTAGAAACAAAGAAAAGAGTGCTGAACTGCTATGTAATATCTAATCTTTTATGTTAGTTGATGTAATAGAATAACTTTTCACCCCTATGAGTGACTACACTATAGGTAGTAACTACCTATAAGTATCTGTAAGTCAACGGAATAGAGTCTAGCTGGAATCTTTTCCAGCCCTGCTGGTTGAACTCTCAGCCTTTGGGCAGAGAGGAACTTCAACGAGGCTATGCCAAAGAGCAGTCTTGTCTGGGGAGGTAGACAGACCCAATCCCATTTATACAGGATCTATGGGGATTTTTTGGCCAAGCCAACAGGCTCGGAATCCCACATTAAATTCGACCTTGTGCCACATGTGACTGCATGGGGCAGATGCTAGATACCGTCTAGCTGGGATCTGTTGGGTATGACTCAGATTTATACGAGAACTACCAACCTTCCAATAGTAGCGCTCACTACTCGATTGACTTGCAACGACCTTGTGCATAACTGTTTTCTTATTTCTTATTGTACTGGTTTTTACAATAAACCTTTAATTATTTTATCCACCTGGTTTTCAAGTATATATTCCTATTAGCACAGAATATAAGAGTAGTGAATGCTGGACAATTCTTACACAGATGAAGATGATATTTGAAGCAACATAGATGTAGTTCTATAGAAGGGTACTGAGAATACAATGGACAGAGCATGTGAGTAATGAAGATTTAGGGGAAATGGGAATGAAATGCACTAACACTTTCAAGTGTAAAGAGATACAAAATGAGAGAAGAAAGCTTGGAGAATTTAACACTCACATGATATACTGAAGCCAAGAGGGAAAAGCAAGTAACCTACCAAACAAGTTTTTTATAAATGGATGAGAGTGTGGGATCAAGGAGGGATGGTAAAGGGTTAGATATTACTTAGAGCTTCAAAGAATAGGAAATTTTGCAGAGCTGTGATTGCTCACTCCATGAAGGGATACAGCAAAGAAGACTGGGCTCTTGAGCTTTGTTGTTAGTGAGTCATAGAGAAAGTTGGGATATACATGCAGTTGTGGCATACTACTCGTTTGCATGAACTGATTCTAAAAATTAAAGATTAGTGATCTGGTTATTGGAATATCCAAAAATAATCTTAAGTATTAATATAAATAATAAATAAATACCTAATGCCATTGCTATAAGTTCTGAAGAGGCTGAAAGAGGGTTTTCTGTGATTAACATAATATTTTCTGACAAAAGAAATCGTCTTGAATTTAAAAATCTGTCTGAATGGAAATTCCTTCTTAGTAATGGAGGATGAAGTGAATGGGTGAGATCCATTCCAATGTAAATGGCATGGTGGGTCTTAGTTGTAAAGGTTAGAACTGGTAATAGAGTAGTGGGAAGCTTGTGATGCTTTGTCTGTGGGATAGGAACCCTCTTACACACACACATATATATATATATATATATATATATATATATATATATATATATATATATATTCAAGCATGTTTTTGTAAATAATTTAGACATATTATGTCTATTTATCTTTTAGTTTTAATCCTTTCAAGTCCTTTCTTGGTATCTGCAGAAAATTAAGAAAATTCCAAAATTTCCTTTCAAATAATTTTATTCCACCAAGTACTTTTAATCTCATTTGAGACCGTCTTCAGGAGTTTCATATCTATGGATGTATTACATGTTAACATTGTAAATTTAATATATTTTTTACCTCTATACAAGGGAG